TGTCGCCCAGCACGCCACTGAAACGTCTACCACCACGACCTCCTGGCTGCCAAATGCAACGGGCAATTTTAATCCCTGCCCCTTAGTTTGAACTCTCCGCCTTATTAGTTGTATTTAACTGCTTCCTTCTTCTTGGAATGTTCTCTATCTCAATTTCCCTGACCTCGGCCTCTTCTGGTTCTTTCTCTCTCTGTGTGATTCTTGTCATTTTCTCGAAGGCCTCTACCTGTCCCTCACAGAGCACGTTTCCCAGCGCTGCAGTCTCACCTCTCTGCACCTCCGCTGACCATTCAACCACACACACGGAGAATGTCAACAATGACTTTAAACACTCACGATTGATTCAAATTTATTCACACACGTGTCCTAAAGCTGTCTTTTGTGGCTCCAGACACGTGCTCACAGCAGTGTGCTAACTATCTGGACCTAGACCTACCTTGGGCACTTCAGACTCGAATATAGTTATTCTTTTTTCTAATCTACCTCCAGTCTTACTCCTCCTTCAGTCTTGGACTTTGTAAACGGTACACCATTGACCCTGCCAGCGAATCCATGACACCGGAGCCTCCTCGTTTTCTCTCTTCCTCACCATCTGTGACAAGCTGGTCTCACCATGACTCCGTTCCTCAGTGCCTCAGGTCAGGCCCTTGTTTGCTCTTCCCTCTTGTCTGCTCTCTCTGCCTCCCCCCTCTGCCCCTCCACGCCGTCTTCTATATCGCTAGGAAAGAGGGCATATTTTTCTGTACATCTGACATCACTCCCTGGATGACTCATCACCCAGATAAAATCGGCTCTCTGTCATGATCTGGCCTTCACCTTCAGCCTCATCTCCCCCACACCCCACAATCCAGCTCCATGCAACCACTTTTGCTTCCTGAATTTGTCACAGTTTCCCCACTTTTAGCCAATCTCTTCCCTCTGCCCAGAATGCCCTTTCTATCACGTGGCTCAACACATTCCTGTTCTTCCTTAGCACCTCAGAGCTAGTTGACTGGCCCTGCTTGGTACAATCTTCCCCTTGCGTCCTGAGAAAGGCTTAATGACCCTACTTTGTGTTCCTGGCTCCCACCGCATGCGGGTATTTCCATACATAGCATTTCTCTTCTATTGTCAGCATCTCTACTCGCCTGTGCCTTGGGCTGTGAACTCCTTGAGCAGCGTGTTGATGCTGTCTCCACTTAATCTCCCCCACATCCGACACTAGGACTGATTCAGGAAACACAGACTCGAGAGCAGATGCGAAAATGAAAAGAAAAAAGCCTCTTTAGTCACAAAATATACTGTTAGATAAACAAAACTATAATGACTGAAAGTGGGAAAGTATGGAACACTCTATGAATGAATGCAAATTAACGAACTTGAACCAAAATTAA